TGCTCATTATCCTAGATAATTTGTGGAAAATATAAGTTAGATATTTTAGTCTATTGTATAGCATGTTTGTATGCAGGTCCCATCTCATATGGCTATCGAAATGCACTCCAAGGTACTTAGTATTATCAACTTTTCGAATGGGTGCACCCTTTATATTTATATGTAGATATGTTGAGTTGCTATTGCAGTTATTTCCAAAAGCCATATAAACTGTTTTGTCAATGTTTAGTGACAGTTTATTCAATGCTAGCCAAATGGATATTTTGTTTAAGTAGAAATTCATATTTCTTTCGACTTCATGCCATGTTTCGCCTTTCACGATAATTACCGTGTCATCAGCAAAAGCCGACACACTATCATTTGGTAGCAATTGTAACATATCATTTATATAGATTATGAAAAATAAAGGTCCCAATATTGTACCTTGTGGTACGCCAATGTTGACTTGTTGATATTGACTATATTCACCATTGATTTTAACTCTTTGTTTCCTATTACTTAGATAGCTTTTGATAAGTTCATACGCACTTCCTCTAATTCCATATCTATAAAGTTTTTTGAGTAGAATTTTGTGGTCCACAGTGTCAAAAGCTTTCGCTAGATCCAAGAAAGTTGCTGCTATTGATTTACTTTTGTCTAGTTGATTGTATATTGAGTTGGTTAGGTAGTATAGGGCATTTTTGGTGCTAAGACCTTTTCTAAAACCAAATTGTTTATTAGAAAATAAATTATGTTTGTTGAAAAAACTTGTAATCCTGATTTGTATTAATTTTTCAAAAATTTTGGCAATATTTGATATTAAAGATATAGGTCTATAATTTGTTGGTAGATACTTCTCTTTAGTTTTATAGATAGGAATAATTTCAGCACTTTTTAATTCATCAGGCCATATTTCTTTTTGTAAGCATAAATTAAAGATATAGGTCAACGGATCACTTATGTGATTTATTATTATCTTTAGTACCTGAGTGTTGATGCCGTCAGATCCTCCATTTTTGTTGCCCATTTTTCTTATTGTTTGTTGAACTTCTATTCTATTTGTTAAATGTAGAAAAATACTGTTGTTGTTCATAGATGGTAGAGTAATGTTACTATTTATTGGTTGTCTAATATTATCACATATCTGTTTGCCTACTGTACTGAAAAATGTATTCATTTGTTCTGCAATGTCGTTTGAGTTTGTAATTTTATTATTACCTATTAGTAGATGATTTATGTTATTGTTTTTATTGGTTTTCGTCCCAATTTTGTTGTTGATTATTTTCCATAATTTTCGTGGATTGTGTTGATTTGTTTTGATTTGATTTTTTTCATATTTTTCTTTAGCTAGATCTATGGTCTTTTTTAAAGTTTCTACATAGTTTTTATATTTTTCTCTTTTTATTGTATTATTGGGATCTTTTTTCCAATTATTATAAAGTTTTTCTTTGTGTGCACATGATATCATTATTGCTTTAGTTATCCAATTACTCCTTGGATTCATTTTATTCTTATTGTGTTTATTGTTTTTAGATGATGCCTTGATACATGTTTGTATTTTTTCTATTAATTTGTTCGTTGCTAGGTTAGGGTCTTTTATTATTTGTATGTCAGCCCAAACAGTTCTTTTGGCTTTATTTTTTAGTTTAAAATAGTTTATTATTTTGAAATGGGTTTTTTGTGTACATTTATAATTATTCCTTAGACTCATCATTATTGGGTAGTGATCATTGAAGGGTATGTTGAGGACGTAAGTTTTATATTTGACTTTTTCTAGCCTAACAAAAAAATTATCTATACATGTACCTTTGTTAATATCAATATTGGATGGTCTTGTTATGGTATGTAGACCTGGGCAATATCCATTTTCTAGCAGTACTTGTAGAAAATCTTGATCTAGTATTTCTTCTCTCAATATATCAAAATTAAAGTCTCCCATTAAAATATTGTTTTTATATTTTTTATTTATTTTCAATAATTCTTTGAGATTCAAAAGGAATTCAGATTTAGATAAATCATGGGATCTGTAAATTGCAGACAGCACCAAATTTTTGTTGTTTTCTAGTGTAATATTATAGTTAATTATTTTTAATTTATCTATTTCAAGAATTTCTGTAATTTCGATGATTTCTTCTTTCATGTACAAAACAACACCATCTGATTTGTTTATTTTACTTTCATTATAATATATTTTATAGTCTGGAATATTGAACATTTCATGATTTTCTAAATACCATGTTTCTGTGCATACTATTATACATGGTTTTTTATCGAGGTTCTTCAGAAATACTAGCAATTTATTGTAATTTTTTTTTAGGCTTCTGATGTTTATACATAGAATGATATTATTTTCCTTACATATATATTTATTTAGATCATCAATATTATCTGTTTTATGTTCATTTTCAAATATAATATCATATAAATTGTTATCCATATTGTAATATTGCAGAAAACTATTTAGTATTTCTGGTTTTATTACCTGTTGGACTTGGTGTAGATAACGATGATAACGATAAACTGTTATTTATTCTCGGACGGTTATATATCTTGCGGGTGTTTGTTTCAAAGTTTATTCTACCAAAATATCTTTGATAAGTTGGTTGAATTGGATAATCTGTCAGTTCAATATACCTTTTTATTTTCATTTTTAAAACTTCACACATTTCGCTGTCGATTGCACTATGGTTTACGTTGTAGTTTTTACTATATGTTTCATTGTGGAAAATGCAGTTTGGACATTGGAGTATGCTGCTACTACACATTTTTGCTTGGTGCTTGCCTGCACATTTATAACACGTTGGCTCTTTTTTTGCTTTTTCACACTTTCCGCCGCCGTGGCCAAAACCTGAGCAGTTATAACACGGATATGTATTGATGACGTCGAAGATTCTGCAGTTTTGACAACCAATAAATAATTTGTTACTATTGTTTTTTATATGTTTATATAAAATAGATGGAACTTCTACTATTGCAGTTACTGTTTTATTTTTTTCATTTGTAAATACATGTTTTACTTTGCATTTTTCTTCGTATTGACTAAAATTTCTTGCATTAATATCAGTTTCTATATCTTTTACATTTGTTGTGAAAGCTTTAGAAATTCCTACTACTTTAATTATCGGTTTACGTATTTCTTCTTTTTGAACAGTAAGTGCCGGTAGTTTTTTTTGTAAAGTTTTTTCTAATACTGTGACATTTTCTTCGGTCATGCAGTTGACAATTATTGTGTCAGTATTTTTAACTTGTACACTTTTTGTTTGTATGTTTTTGTCTTTAATTAAGTAATGTGCTACTTGATTTTCTAAGTTTATGTTATCATTACTCTTTTTCTTTATTATTAGTCTTGGTATTCTTTTGGGTTTAGGTTTTGGTAGTGCAATTGTTTCAGCATATGTTTTTCTCATAATGTTAGTATTTGCATTTTTATTTTGTTTTTCTTTAATTAGTAGTTCATTGAGCAATTCATTTTTTTCTTTTGTTTCTTTGTACAGTTCTTTCAATAGGTTATTTTCGGCTTTTAATTGTTGTAATTCATCCAAATCACTGATCTGTGTTACATCCATATTAACATCGTTTTCATTTAAAATTTGCTTTTCATGCACAAGCTCATTTAATATTTCCTGTTTTAATTGTTCTCTACTTACAAGTTTGAATTGTGTTATAAAAGCACTAGCTTGTTCACTTAAGTCCCCATATGGCAAGTTTGATGTTAGTGCAAAATTTGGATGCTCCTGGCATATTATGAATGAGCTGTTTATTAGTTTGATTGCATTTCCTGCATTGATTTTTGCTACTATTTCACTTGTATGATAGAAATTACCACATACTAAACACACAACTGCTCCAACTTTTGTATTTGGATGACACTTGAAATGCTTATGTAGCGATGATGCGTCAGGCGGTTGCACCTCCGCACCGCTCGACGGCGACATCGCGACAAAATTATATTTAATTATATTTATATTATATAATTATATTATATAATTATATTTAATTATATTTATTTGTCAATGCAATATGAGTTCGATGTTTGTAAAGTTTGTAAAGCGTTTGTAAAGCGTTATTTGTATAATAAAAATTGAATAATTATGTATCGAAAATAAATCTAGCTTAACAATTAAATTATTTTATTAAATTATTAATGGTTGACTAGAAAGAAAGAAAAATTGTGTAAAAAACAAATATCCTTGCTCCGCCGATTTTCATTCCAGTAAATTTTAGTGTATTTTGTGATGACAAATGAAACCCCGTTGCCACTTTTTGTCGTCATTTTTGTTCAAATTTCCGGCTGCTAAGGACCTATGTGTGCATGAGCGAGCTACCTCAACTAACCAACCTACCTCTAACCCACCAAACTACACCGATGCCGAAACAGCCCGACACAAATATTATTTTATAAAAAAAAATGATCACATCTCACGTATGTCTAATTGTAGTTCTCGAAAAAATAATTATTTGTTATTGTACCATTATATTTCTCATAAAAAATAAAAAATATTGTTATCGATCATTCATCTCCTACTTATTCACATAAAAGACATAATTAAGCAAAAATAAATTCACAGAAAAATTGTACCTTCTGTAGTCTAAATTGTACCATCAGTACAATTCTATAAATTTGTTTCTAAAAGAAATAATAGGACAATTACAAAGCTCTACGCCTGCGCAAAGTGCATTTCCGGATGACATTCTTGTAAGTTGTAACAATTAGTGGTAATTTGTAATTTTCCTATTATTTCGAGTGCTATTAACATCGAGTGGTTGGATGTTCCCTGTCGTTCCTGTAGGAATTTTTTTTATATTAACAATTTTGTTTGTCGGCATCGTTTCCCTTACAGCTTTATCGCAATGTCCACTCCAAGAGTCGAGTAAAAGTACAGATTGAGGTACAACACTTGGGTAAAAAACTTCTTTCAATCATATTAAAAAATGATCTAAAATAAAAAAAATGTCAAAACTTTTTTATGTCATTGCATTATAATAAACAAAAATATACTAACTTGTCGTTCATTTTCCAGATTTAGATGCTTCCACATGCACATTTTCTGGTCTAAATAATGAAGATTCCACTATGGGACCGAATTGACCACTTTTTTATTTTAATACTATAAAAAGTGGTGATAAAAGTTTCCCGGTTGCTGATATAGTTGGCTGAACAGTATATAACTGTGCGTTGTCGATGAAACCGACTGTACCAGACATTGTACCTGATTTTCTTCTTCAACGGCTAATGTTCTTCCCAAGTGCATTTCTAATTGGAAACCACTCTGATATGAATTATAAAAGTTTGCAATGCCGATTTCTGGTATACATGATTGAACATCAGCTACAAAAGCATCATCATCAGTTTGTAGTTCTTCTTTACTTTCTAATGTTTTTTTGGTGATAAATTTATTTATTTTTCTAGATACTATTCTATGAGCTTTTTTAAATTTTAGTAACCAATTTTGAGAAGCCTAAAATCTTATATCTTCATGGCCAACAATTTTTTGAGCTTGCAATGCCAATTTCCGTATACTCGTATCTCGATCATGTACTATCGTACCAGCTGCAATAGCGGCTTTTAAATTATCAAATGTGTATTGGCAAATTTGCGCAATTTTTTCTCGGTAAGTTCCATTTTTATTAATTGTTTTCGTCCACCATTTACGTTGACTCATAGATGAAACTTTTTTGAATCTATATTGTACAGTATCCAGTTTTAAGTTTTTGTTTTTTCCGCTCCTCCAAAATTCTACAGCTCTTTGTTTATAATCAAATGTGATTTCTTCATCATCATTTGTGCACTGATTTGTTGGTTGAACTTCATCTTCGATTATTTTAGCATCAGTATCTTTATAATCTTCATGAAAATCTAACGTCTCTTCAATAATCATATCAATATCATTAAACTCATACACGGCATCTATTAATATTTCTTTCAACTTTTCTGACAATTTAATTTCATTGAAATTAATCTCGCTATCTGGTATTTGTAAACTTTGAAAATATGCTAATAATAAATTGACTACGTTCAAAGGATTGATCTTCATGTTTTAATCTAAAACAAAATCAAGATATAAATACTCTTTTTTGTAGTTGAATAATTTTACAAACGACAAAAGGAAACCTAGTCTATAGATAGAATTCGATCATACGTTTTTAACAGTTATATTTCACATGTTTACAAATCAAAATATTTGAATAAAATTATATATGATAAGTGACATAAATACTTACGTAGTAGACAAAAACTTTTCTTCTTGTTATGTACTATATTTTCGTGTTCGGGAAATTTGTATGTAAATATAGAAATAAGTTTATTTATAAATCCAGCACTATAAAAAAACTTTAACTTTTTAAATACTTGACTTTTCTTCAACTACTATGAATAATGAAATATGTATCGGATGTCTTATTATCGTAAGGGGCGTAGATTTGATATAACTTATCTTCTTCGAGCCATTAATAAGACAAAATTGTAAATAAGATAAAGTGTACAGCAAAGTAAGTTACCAACAAAAAGTAAACTAAACCACAAGTAAAAATTGAAAAAAGTAAACAGTTTATAAGTATAGGAATTGATTTCACCCCTTAAAAGCCCTTATGGTCCGATAAAAAAAAAACACGTATCTAATTTTTTTTTTAAGTTTTATAACATATCCCAAAATCATTCAAATCGGTGAGGTCGGGTTGGGGTGGTTCCCTTGTCAGTGACGTGACTTCTCCTAATTCTAAGCATTCAGCTTTCAACTGATTGAAAAGCGTGTGCTCTTGCTTATCGGATTATTTAGTGCATTATAGTTATTCAGAGTTTAATTTTTGTTTAAAGTTTTAGAATCGCGCAGTATATATATTGTAAGTTTAAGCGTATATATAAAATTCGCAATTTTTAAAATAAATAAACGTGTAAGTGTTAATATTTATTTCATTACCACTTTGATTTTCCAATACAGAATAACTATAATATACTTATATAATAATGTCAAACAGGTTAATTTATTCAAAGATAAAAAAGAAATTTTATTAAAAAAAACTATCTCGACAGAGATTCGATCTCGCATGACAAAAAAATCTAATGGCACGCGTTAACCATTTCGGCTATCAACGTACTGAGAATATAAATATGAAACATAAATATGTTCATAAAGGAGTATATGGATTTATGGGTTTGAGATTAAGTAAGAGGCTTGGGTTGTAGATATTTGTTATAGTATTTGACATAATAACAGAGATATAATTATTTATAATAAGAACCATTGAATTGAGTGGGAATTGAAGCCTCTATTCAGATCGTACAAAACGAATAAAACCGTCTTGCAGTGTTCAGCTCGAATTACTGCTTTGCTTTGCTTACCAGTGTGCGTGATATACCAAGCACACATTTGTTTCCCCTTCTTTCCCTGAAACGCACATTCGCTTCTCATACATTTTTTTCGATGCGTGTTTAGTAGGCCCCCGCCGTTCTTTCTTAAAATTGTACGTAAACTTTGACGCTTTGGCCATTAAAAGCATTGGAACCAGCATCTTCTATCGGTCATTATCCGTACAATTGCAGTTAGCAATCTCCCTATTCGTTTCTGTCGCCAACTTACTCAGGTAAATAAATAAAGACCAAAGTCAATATAGCAATGTAGAATAACGATGCAGAGTCAACAGCTAACATAAAAGAGCTAACATGAAAGAGATACAGGTGCGAATTTATGAGTTACATTTTTTTATTAATACATTCTTACTTCTATTCTGTCAGTTTGTCAAACAATAACATCGTAAATAATGAGGAATATCCATTAATTGTCTTTAATGCGATTCGTTATCTATTTTAATTTGTGCTTCATGATGTTCAAATTGTTGACTTTATTTGCGTTATATATAAGAAAACAAAATTCTTTAGTAAATGGTTAGCGTCATAAATTATGAAATATAATGAATCGTCAATGTTGAGGCAAAGCGGGAAATGATTAGGATGTCGATAAATGGCCCGAAAGATTTATTAATTAGTATGACGCGATAAGAAGGCGGAAATCTCGAAAAAAGTGCTGGAGTCACTGCTAAGTGTGAATAAATCATCATCCGTTCGCGGCGAGATTTCCTTTCCAAAAATAAGAATTAAATCACTGACCGATAATGCTCTTTTTTCATTTTTCTAAAATTCCTGGATACACCCGTTTTCACACATGGTCGAAACAAAACTGCAAATCCGATCTGGCTAGTGGCCATCTACGAGAATGTACTACATGATAGTATATTTTTCTTGCGATAGTAGCGCCATCGGGTTGTGAGGCTAAGTACTCGTCAGACCACCCTTATATATATGTCATTCTTTGTCAAGCAGACCCATCTCAGTTTAAACTTTTGCGCTTTATATCTACTATAAGATGCAATGTAACCATTTCAAAAATACAATAGGGTGGTTTCAAAATGGCTGCTCAAACATAAGCTGAACATGAAAAATTTCCAGAATTCAGCGATATCTCGTTCGATTTTAGTGCCATTTATTTTTTGAGATAGGTAATAGATTCATCGTCAAACTTTACATTGATATGTACTATTGCATCCAAGTTCACAATAATGCTGCCAAGATCATTTGAAATTCAAACATTTTTAATCGCGCTTCTTGAAATACTGTCTTTAGCATATTTCAAGCATTATTAATCTCATGTTTGATATTTAACTTACTACAGTTATCAACAAGAATATAATTTTCTTTAGGCTATTATCTTTCTATTAATAGCTTACGGTTGATGAATATGGAGAATTGAATTGCAAAATATTATGTAATAATAATTTATTAAATTATATGTATTGTTACGTCTCGTGCATCAACTACGAATAGCTAATGAATGAGACGTTCCAATATGTTGACTAGTGGTCGGATATGTCTCACTTATAATAAATATATATGGAAATGTATGTCTGATAATTGTACTACCTTGATAATCGTAGCCTTCAACCCGTTTCCGCCGAAAACGCCACTCACGTTACCCTGGTATTTGAGAGCTTATAACTGACGTTGAAATTGCCAAAAAAAATTGAAAGAGCTATATTCTGAAATCAGTAGAGTGTATTTATCCAATTCTAAATTGGGCGATTTCCAATCTTATCAGTATGAAACTAGAACTAGAGCAGTATGTAACTACAAGGAGTGTCGTCAACGAACTAGCAGATTTTGCATTGATTGCGACAAGTACTATTGCTTGCACTGTTTTCCTCTTTTGCATCAAGCGAAATAATTTTTTTCTCTAAAGTAATCATAAATAATTAAAAAAAAAAAAAACAAAAATACGAAAAAAATATAAAAATAACTAAAATGTAAAAAAAAAAGAGACTATCTATATTCGTCGACCTCCACGATGGTGATAGTTGGGCAACGTAAAAAAATGCATTTTACGGCGAACAGGCGAACAGGCGAAATATGCACTTTGATACCACATTGATACTAATGGAAAAATTTTCACAAGAAATGCACATACAAAAAAATTTATAAGAATAAAATATTCTTAGAATAAACTGTAGAATACGTGGGAATTATTTTGGATTTTTTGAGCAACTTTTGAATTTCGCATAAATTTACAGTTTGCAAAAATAAAAAAATTTTCTTGAAATCTTTTGAAAAAATTTAGGTGCATTCTTTGAGTAATTCTAAGAACATTTTCTTCTTTGGCAATTTTTCCATAACGCCATAGTTGTTGAGTTAAAAATTCATAAACATATTTACAAAAATTTTGCAATCGAGGCGCCATTTTGAAACTCCCCAGGTGAAAAATCGATCCGAAAACGATGAGACCTTAATATTAAGACATTTATTCCACCAGTTACAGAAGTTCCGGGTCGATTCCACTGGAGAAACCTTTTGAAAACTCGATTTAAAAAAAAAAAAGAGTGAAAAAATCATGATTTTTTTTTAAAACTGCATTTTGCAATAGTAAAAAATTTTTTGAAAAATTGAGATGAGCACCATCGGAAAGAGCAGATCTTAAACTTTGAGAATATAGCTCTTTCAATTTTTTTTTGGCAATTTTAACGTCAGTTATAAGCTCTCAAATACCAGGGTAACGTGAGTGGCGTTTTCGGCGGAAACGGGTTAATTGTTGATAAACTGTAGCAGGCTCTAACTGCTTGTTGGATTGTATGAATGTAGCAGGCTCTAACTGCTTGTTGAATTGAATAAATGTAGCAGGCTCTAACTGCTTATTGAATTGAATAAATGTAGCAGGCTCTAACTGCTTGTTGAATTGAATAGGATAGGTTGTTGAATAATACTTGCACGATATTACTTTGTAACAGTCGCGAGTTTATTAAGTAAAATGATCACCAATTGTCGGACCGGTGTGTACGGAGTTGAGTCTTACAGGTACTTATTGACTGACTGACGGACTACTGATCAACTGCTGAGAGTAATTTGTTCATTGCTTTTTATATCTTTTATAGTTCTTTTCAGGTCAGTATTGCGATATTGTGTGACATTTTGTTTTCGCTGATTATAAATTCTTGCGTTTTGGTGACTTAGTTTCGGAGTGTGTTTCGACAGCTTTTTGCTGTCGTGTGAATAGCTTAGCAGTTTTGAATGTGCATATGTTACGAAAAGGATGCGTCGTAAGGCTTAATTTCGGAGAGTCATTTACCTCGC